TTTCCCTTTTATTGAAGCATTCTTCCGTTAGTTAATGTGAATGCAAAGAAAATAATAAAATGTAAAATATGTCTAAATGCCTGATGTATGAAATGTCCAAAGCATTGATCCAAAAAATGTGTCTGTTATTATGAATAATCCTTATTGGGGACAAAAATGTTTTATCTTTTAAGAGACAAAAAATATCATGATAGCTTCTGACAGTTGACTAGTCTTCTGCCTTCGTCTGTCACTAGTTGAATAACCTGTCGAACCGCTCCGGCTTCTCTTGATGAACCGTGCAAATGTTGAGTTGCTTTTTGTACGAGCCCAAGAAGTCTCGAATGATTGTATCTCGGGCATTTATCTTTTGTTGAGCATGAATACGTCATTAGAGCCCTCAATCGATAGGAACTATGTGAAGTTCATTTGTATGTTTCTTGAATTCGTCAGCAATGGTCTCCAGTTTCAGCTATCCATTATTATCTTTGAAGGGACTCCCCAGATCATTGACCTTCATCTTGCCCCTGCAACCTCTTCCAGTCAGTTCTTCCAAGATAAACCTTCATTGTGTTTGATGTAGACCCGATTCATTCTGAGTCCTTTATAACGCAGCAGAGTGATATACTCTTCAATTGTGGGTGTCACGTCTTTTGAATTGGATGTGACGCATAGTCGCCTTGTAGATTGTCCTCTGTATTTTCATCTCTTGTATTACAACCCCTTTGTCCATTAGTTCAAATTATTTTGTGTGTAACAAATACCTTTTTAGGGATCAATGACCTCTTGTTATGATGCAAATGCTAGGAAAATAAATACAAAGGTAAACAGTTAGTACAATAAAAATAAATAAATAAATATAAAATAACGAAAGGGAAAAAAAAAGAAACATGGTTAGGGTAAAAATGTCATAGGTTTTGGAATATGGTTTCGGGGTAGGCTCTAATCCTCCATAGTCCCGCGGTTTAGGTTCTAAAAAAAGGTACCCGAGTTCTCCTTGCCGGTGCCCCCTTGGGCTTACCAGACCCTTAGTCCTAAACCCATCACATGCTTGTGTGGACTAAGTTAAACTCGAGAGGACACATTCCCTTATGTCTATGCGGAGAATAAATTCACACGAAGACATAAGGTATATGAATCCCGAAGGCTACTTGCTAGGCATATGCGATGAATAAATTCACACGAATGCGTCGCTTTCGCCCCCACATAAAACAGGTTCGGAGCTCGGGTTTAGAGCCTTAGATGAAAAATCTTTAAGGGCTGAAACCATTAAAAAACGGTCAGTACAACTATTTATTTGAAAAATAATCAAAGTAAGCAATAAGGAACGAAATGTTACCTTAAAATTTAAACTTACCTTTTCATTAAAAAGACAACTGAAAATTACCTTAGCCTGACTCACTTACTTGTGTCCCCAGCGGAGTCGCCAAGCTGTCGAAACCGTCTTTCGGTTGGGCCCCGGAATTGGGCTTCGACTTGGAAAATATGGATTGGATTCGCCACCGATAATTTATTTGAAAAATAAAATGGGTTGATCGGATACCTTATTTCTTACATGATCTGCGTCTTACAAAAAAGGTGTCGGATTCGGGAGTCAGTTACAGTCAAGGAAGGGTTAACACCCTTAAACTGCCATTTCGGTACTACATAATTTCCAGTTGTCTTAAATTAAGAAAATTTTAATTTAAACTAAAAGGTAAAATAACGATATGAAATTTACCCCTGATTGATTGAAAATATACTCTTTAAAAGACAGAATACGTGTTAGATAAAAAAGGAAAATAAATAATGAAGAAAGAAAAATGAATGAAATAAAATAAATAAATAAAATAGAAAATCAAAAAAAGAAAAAAATTAATAGATTAATGATAATGTGCCAACCCTAGGCTCATGTCTCGAGAGTGTGAGATACTGAGTACCTAAACATTGACCAATTTACATGTCCCTCTCAATTAATTAATGGGCGGTGGACTCTTACTTTCTAAAACCATGAGCTAGCCAAGTCTCAACAAAATATATAATAAAATATAGCAAGCAAAAAATAGATATAATAATAATAATAATAATAGAAAACAAAACAACACAAAACATATATATATATCAAAGTAGAAACAAAATAGTAGAATAGAAAAAAAATGTATATATATAAATACATAAAATGAAATATAAAAATATATGATACTAATAAAATATATATAAATAATAATAATAATAATAAAGGATTAATTTGAAAAAAATATAAAATTTAGAGGCCAAGTTAAAAAGATTTTGGGGTGGAATCGGAACAAATGTGGTCAGAATGGAAGATTAAAAACAAGAGGGACCAGAATGAGATTAAACCCATCTTCGTTCAGAAACACGCGGATCCCCTAGGGGATCCGCTCGGGTCTGGTCATGCTTTGCGGGTCGATACACGAGCACACTATAAATGCCAAAAATTCTTTTAATCCTTCATTTCTCTCCCTCACGCATGAAAGCAACCCTCCCATTCTCTCTTTTTTCTCTCCATTGTTCTTCACAAATGAAGAACAATGACCAAGCTTTCCAGAATCCGGCCGTTGGTCACCGTGTGCCGCCTCGCCGCCGCCTTTGAACGGCGCCGGCCACCGTTCATCGACGGTAAAAAAATTATTTTTATTTTTTTAAAACTTTTGAAAACTCTTTTAATCTAGCTCCCAAAAATCAAAACGATGTTTATAAAAAGTGCCTCGGGGGCTAGATATATGAGATAAAATCTCGACCGAGCCCCTCCATTCATCGACAAAAACGCTTCTTTTGGGTTCTATTCAAACCAAAATGGTGACAAAAATAAATATTACCCACATGCAAGTCAACCAAACGAAAATAGGTAAGGTTTTCTTACCTTTGTGCTTTCGAAATTTTACAGGAAATTACTTGGATTTTGTTAGTTTTTGGCAAAAATTGGCCAAATCCCACATTGGAAATGAACAAAGGATGGAAAAATTCTTAGCCTATAAATAGAACATTTCCCTTTGTTTAAATGTATGTCAATCACCAAAATACAAGTGGTGTACTAGAAAGCTATTAGCTATACTAGTAGAGAATTTAAAGGGAAATTCTCTTGGGGTGTACTTTAGCTTTTGGGCATGTGTGAGAGTTAAATATTTTGTAGTGTGGTTGTAATAATTTTCCACATAGTAAATATTTTTTCTCTTGGTTGTCTTTTGACAACGCTTGTGGTTTTTCTCCATTTGGGAGTTTTCCACGTTAAATTATTGTGTTTTCTCTCTTTTATTTTTCAAGTATTTTTGTTAATGTTGCGATCTAAAGGGATTGTTGGATTACAAGGGGTTTATTTTCCCAACAGATTTCGCCCTAAAATTGCTCGTAAGTTTATGTTTTTATTTCGTATCAAAATCCCCCCTTTACAAATGGTATGGATTACACTTATTTATAATATAATATTTGTTATTTTTAGATTACAACTTTGATTCCTACTTGAACTAAAACTTTTATATTTGTTGCTTGGTTGGTTGTGAATGAGTCTCCTTGACTCACGTTTGTTGAAGGCCGAGAAAACCGGCGGTGAACCCGGCTGCTGGAGCAACGGCGTTGAACGGGATGTTGGGCGTACTTGCGGCGTAGGATGTAAGTTTTGCTAGGGTTTTGAAAACCCTAGCTTGCTGCGTGTTTGGGGTCTGGGTGGCACACGTGGGCTGCTGAGCATTTTTAAGGCCCTGTAAAACCGGAATAAGTGTAAATGTATATTATATAATATAGTTTGTAATTATATAATATAATAATATTAATCGGACGGTATTAGGTGTCTTCAATATATATGATCCATGCATAATATCATGGAAATTGAATAAATTTTTGATTGCTACTAGTATCGGCAGTAGGTCTAAAAAAGTATCTAAAAATATCAAATTCAGATATTTGTACTCTTATCTCCCTTCTAATTTTTCCCCTCTTCTTTATGTAAAATTAAAATTAGATTTAGAATTTTAAAAAATGTCATTTTGTTCAACTTAATTGTTGACGTTATTAATGTAAGAATCAAAATATCTGAAACGAGAATTAGAAGTTAGAACAATCAATTTAGTAGCCGATCATTTTAGGATAAACTACATTATGATCATTGAATTTTTAGGGTTTTTACTTTGATCACTAAATGTTTTAAAATTACACTACAACCACTAAAATTTTAATTTATTTTTATTACAATCACTGTTATTACCTATTATGAAGAAAAGTTGATATATCACGCTAAAAATTCTAAGCTTTCAAATTAGTCGAGGAATCATATTCATTGTCATCGTTCAACCACCATAACCAACTTAATTTGATCATCGTTCATAGTCACAACTCTTAGTGGTAACAAACAATAAAATAAAAACAAGTAAAAGAGTAAAAATATAAGAAAATGAAAACTATTCATCTTGACCGTGACAAGTTTCTGATGAACAGAATGGTCGTTGGTCGATCACAAAGGTTGGAAGGATTTGTTTGACCAAAATATTAGCATAATTCAATTTCAAGCTGATATGATGATTGAAATGGTTAATCGAGAAATTTTAGCTTTTAGTTTATGTTGGGATTTGATAAATTTGAATTGAATAAAAAAAAGAGCAGTTTGATCACATTTTTTGACTGATAAAACCATCAAACGATGACAAAACAACTACGAAATGAGGAGTGCCAATGGCCAATTTGAAGGAATACAAGTTAAGTTTTTTTTTGGAAACTAAATAAAATAAATAAATTTTAACATGAAGCATCATCTTATCTCAACGGTAATGACCGTAATGAAAGCAAATTAAATGTTAACGATTTTAATGTATGTTTTAAAAATTCAATAATCAAAATAAAAGAAGTCTAAAAATTCAGTGACCATCAGTGTAGTTTAACCTGTTTTCATTGCTTTCCATACCGGACAAAATTTTCCTTGAATCCACCAGCCTCAGCCTACAATACCGCCCAATTTTCATTTTGAAAATTTTGCAAAAAATCACTTGTTTCCCACACGCCAAAGCTTCCCCCCACCTATCAGGATTCACCATTATTTGTTGAGAGCAAAGCTCTCATTTCTCTCAAGCTAATCCATTCCTCAATCTCTTATCTTTCATAGTTGGAATCCATAAGCAATGGCACAATCAAGAGATAGACTCGTTAGAACAGTTGATATAGCTCAAGTCTTCTCTCGAACACGATCTGGGACTTTGGGCATCTTCTCAGATGAATCAAGGGAGCTGTTAGTCTCCCCTGTTCCACAACGTGGTTCAATGGGTGTCGGTGGAGGGCGCCGCAGGGACAGCAGTTTTGGCACCCCGAGATCCGGTATTAGAGAGGGAAGGAGTTTTTACCGATCTCCGGCCATGGGAAGAGAGAATACTCCGCTCATAGGCCGTGCAATGGGTCGAGGGACGGGCAGTATGTTACCGTCTTGGTATCCAAGAGCTCCTCTCAATGATTTTACTGCTGTTCTGAGGGTAATGCTCGCTTTTACTTACAATTTTTTTCTTCTTGTTTTGTGATCACTTCAGGAAAAACTCTTTGTTTGGCTTGTTTAGCTGCTCTAGTTTAGTTTCGCCGATGATAAAATATTGAAATAATGACCATTCAACTGCTGATTACTTTCCTGGTTTTGGTTTTATTTCCATTTGGATGTAATCTTGATGCATGATTTTAGGGTAGGTGACAAACTTACAAAATTTAGGAATAAAACAGATCATTAATAGGAAATATATTCAATTGTATAAGAATTTAAATTTTGAAGAAACAATTGCTTCCTCCAGCACCCTTGGTCCATCCCTAAATGTAACATTTTGATCATTATCTCAAGACAATTAATTTTTAAGACTGCCTATTTTGGTTAGCCTCAATTCATTCGCAGTATATATATTTTTTATGAATTAACGGAAGATTCTGCATAGCATTTAAGAGTTTAAGCAGGAGGAAAGTTCGATCTTGGTTCTTCCTCTTTGATTTTCCTATCTTTTCTAAGCAGGAATTAAAATGAATTCTCTGTTTTCTTCGACAGAACATTTGTTCCATCAATGATCATAAACGGGTTAATTAACTCTTTTCTGTTTCTTTTTATTAAAATCATCGGCTACCGTATGGGACTCTTAAGGACGGAGGCATGACTTTATGTCAAGGGGTGAACATAGAAGAAAAATGTATAAAATTTTAAGGATAAAAACATATTATAAATAAAAATATATAAAAATATATAAAATTATATAAAAAATTGAATTTTTTTTTGGGGAAATTGAATTTGATTATGGTAATGGTAATAGTCATTCAAACTTTCTAATGACAAATGGGTGGGGGGTTTTCTAAGGCTTGTTTGAGCATGGTAATTGAATTTGATGAGGATTGAATCAGGCCATTGAAAGGAGGAGAGCTCATACAGGAGGAAGAGAAGGCGTGGCAATTGAGACCCCAATAATACCTGAGGATGTTAATTCAAACGTATCATCAGGTTTCTCAACTCCAGCTTCAACAGCCAGATTGAAGAAGCCATGCTCTCCATCAGTCCATAATGTGTCAAATATTTTGCTTAGTGTCACAAACATGGATACTGAGGAATCAGAGCTTCTTACACCTCAAAAGAAACTCTTGAACTCCATTGACACTGTAGGCAAAGCTGTCATGGAGGAACTACAGAAATTGAAGAGGACCCCCGGTGCCAAGAAAGCAGAAAGGCAAAACAAAGTCCGCACATTGATGTCAATCCGCTGATCTCTACCGCATTGTGACATTGGAAAGATAGAATCAGTGAGAATAACTACAAGGCTAGAGATTTGCAAACCACCTTGCAGTGGACCGGCTAAGGCTGGCTGGCTGGCTTATCATCCTCTGATGATATGTTTACACTCTTCAAACATAGTCTATTACCAGATAGCATAGACGATTTCAATCTTTCATTTTCTTTAATGGGTTGCCTTTGCTAGATTAGTATGCACAATTGTAAGCTTCATTATCTTTTAAGTTAATAAGAAGTTCTATACTACATTCTTCACATATAATCAAGGATGGACCGAGCAACAGTCGCCCCTCTTGAAAATAGTTTCCATGAATCCTTGTTGAAGGCTATGGTGTAAGACTGATAAACAATCTTGTTTCTTTTCTCCATTCTGCTTTTGACATTGTTTATTACGAAACAAAATTGTTGCCATCTTGGCTGTTTTATTTTTTATGAATAAGATGGCAGGACTCTCATAAAACATTTTATTTTGTTGGGAGGGTCAGGATTAGGGGTGCACAAAAAATCCGAATATCCGATTTTGCGAAAAAAATATCCGAAACCGGATTTGGGAAAAACGGGTTTTTTTTAACCGGATCGGATTTTTTTAAACCGGTTATTTTAACCGGTTTGGAGAAAAAAACCTAGACCGGTTTTTTTCCCGGATAAAAAACCAGTTTGAAAAAAACCGGTTAAAAAACCGGTTTTTATCCGAAAAAAAAACCGGTCTGGGTTTAAAAAACTAGCCGTTAATATAGCCGTTGGGGGGGTTTTGTGACCGTTTTTGACCGTTTTTTTCTTTAAAAAATTACCATTTTACCACCCTAAACATGTATAAATAGGTTGGGGATGTATTTGGTTGATTACAAATTTATCAAATCTTATTACACAACACTTAAACATCTCTCAAATCTTACTTTTGTAATTTTTTGTTCATCATGAGTAACACAGCTGAATCTTCCGTCGGGGGAAACCTTGAAGTCGTGAGAGTGATCGAATACACTCGAAACAAAGACATTTGGGATCACTACGATTTATGTGAGATGTCAAATGGCTCGAGGAGGGCGCGTTGTAAACTTTGTCTAAAGTTTCTTGCATCGGAAGGAAACACAACGTTGAAGAACCATTTGACAAAATCATGCAAGGCACTTCGCTCAAGATCGGATCCTAGTCAATCGAATCTTACACCGCAAGGTAGTGTTTTTGTTTACGACAATGAAAAATTACGAGAAGCGTTTACAAAGTTCGTGATTACAAAAGCATTGCCGTTCGACCACTTTGATGATGAAGATTTCACGATAACAATTCAACAACTAATGCAACCACGTTATACTCAAGTAAGTCGTACTACCCTTAGAAGAGATGCTATAAAAATGTGGCGTACGGCGAGGGAAAAAATGATTTTAGGATTCCAAGAACACCGTTATGGTGTGTCGCTTACATGTGACGTTTGGAGTTCCCCTCATAATACCGGAAATTCTTTTTTAGCCGTTACGTCACATTGGTTAGATCAAGATAATTGGCAAATGATGAAAAGAACAATCGCGTTTGAATTATTCGGTGAGCCGCATACCGGTGCTAATTTATTTACACTTTTAAAAAGGGTAATTTGTCTTTATAAATTAGAAAATAAAGTTTTTTCTATATCCTTTGATAATGCATCGAATAATACAAACGCGGTTCCAAGATTGAAAATATTACTTTCACCGATTTTAGACGGTGCGTTTTTCATACCCGTTGCGTTGCACACATAATTAATTTATCCGTGCAAGCCGATTTGGAGGTTATTGAGCCGATTAGATTAGAATTTAAAACAATGATAAAATCGGTTCTTTGTAACAACAACAAAAGACTAAATGATTATAAACGATTTTGTAAGTCCGTTAATAAAAAAAGCTTTGATTGTCCAACTCGTTGGAACTCAACTTGGATGATGATGCATACTGCCTTAAGGCAAAGGGAAACATTGCAAACATTTCACGATCGGCTTTTCGAGAGGGGTCATGTCCCAAACATTTATCCGGATTCGAGTTGGGAAACTATAGCCAAAATAACTGATTTGCTTGAGGTTTTTAAAAATGCAACAACTTTTTTATCCGGTGTTTATTACCCTACTAGCCCGTTGGTTCTTAATCAAATATTTTTGTTGGCTACCCGACTAAATGACTTTGAATTTGAAACCGAAGTTTTTCAAGAAATTGGCTTTGCAATGAAGGAAAAACTTTTAAAATATTTTAAGGAGATTCCCCCCATTTTTACTTGTGCCGCCGCTTTAAACCCAACGTTAAATGTTGGTGGGGTTGAAACACTAATTGAACAAATTGCGTTTGCTTTTAATCTAACCGATGATGAACCCAACTTTGTCCAAAACCAAATAAATTATTTTAACAAATGTTTTCGAGACATGTTTGCAATTTATTTAACTAAATACGGATCAAGTAGTGTAATACACGATCAAATGAGAATGAATGCGGAATCATCTAGTAGACGTCCAAGTAACATAAATTTGAATCTTTTTAACACTCTTGTAAATTCCCAATCCAAACGATCACGTACTACCACCCCAAGTAGCGAGTTGGGAAATTATATGTCATGCGATTTTCTATCAAAAATGACATTTGAAGAGTTTGAAAGTTTGGATATTTTGGCTTGGTGGAAAGAAAAGGAAGCACAATTTCCGATTCTAGCCGCCATGGCCCGTGATTTACTAACCGTCCAAGCTTCTACGGTAGCTTCGGAATCCGCTTTTTCTGTTAGTGGCAAGGTTATATCGCAACGGAGATCAAGACTAAGTCCCGAGTCGGTGGAAGTATGCATTTGTTTAAAGGATTATTTGGATGGAGCGGCTCGTAAGCAACATATCAACACCCTAGAAGATGCAATTGATGCCGATTTGGAAGCAAACTTACACATTGAAGAAGTCGAACTTGGAATATCCCCTCCAAACGAAGAAGGCGAAGATGATGAAGAAGAGATGGCAATGTAGTTTATTTTATAACTTTATTTCAATTATCGTAAACTTTGTTTCAATTATCGAACTTGAAGTTTTTAAGTATTTGAATTTATCGAACTTGGAAGTTTTTAAGTATTTGAATTTATCAAACTTGGAAGTATTTAAGTATTTCAATTATGTTGAGTTAATTAAGTATTTCAATTAAGTATTTGAATTTATCGAACTTGAGGTTTGATGCTTTCTCTTTGATTCTCTCTTGATTCTAGTTGCTTGATGTTTCTTGTCTTTGATCAATGGCTTCTAAGCTTGCTTAAATACACCTTGAATCACTTCTGAACGTTAGTGATAATTAATGAAGATAATATAGCCGTTTAAGTGTGAAAACATTTAATAAAAATGCTTGGAGCGTGGGGGAATCGGTACCCTCTCATAGGGAATCGGTACCCTCTCATAGGGAATCGGTTCCCTAAGTGTAAAATTCAAATATTTCGACCGTTGAATAGGGGGGAATCGGTACCCCCTATGGGGGAATCGGTTCCCTCCGAGCATTCTGGAAATCTCGGAGCCAAACCATTCAGTGAGGAATCGGTTCCCTATGAGCAATCTGGAATATTAAAATCGGTTTTTTTATAACCGGTTTTTTAAAAAAACCGGTTTTTTTAAAACCGAAACCGGTACACCGGTTAGGATATCCGGCCCTCCAAACCGGTTAAAAACCGAACCGGTTATTTTATAAACCGATTTTTTTTCTATGAAAAAAAAACCGGATCGGATAAAAACCGATCCGGATCGGATTGAAATCCGACAAATGTTCATCTCTAGACTCAGGATTAAAATCTTCAATTATAGTGATAAAGTCTCTCACTAGGATAATGAACTATCAATCATAAATTAAATATTAGAAAATATTATTTTAATATTTATCATATTTATATTCTAATAATAATTATATAAATTGAGATATAATTCCATCATATATGTCCACATTATTATTTATTTATTTAAGAATAACTAAAATATAATACTTTTTATTTAAGAATAACTAAAATATAATTCTTTTTATTTAATCATATTTTTAATAAAATACAGATAAGAAAAAATATTTCTTAAGGCGACAGTTCTAAAAAGCACTTATTCTCTTAGATTTTACCCCGTTTGCCAATGCTTGTAGTCGAAAGTGATTTTAAGCAATATTACTAAACGAAGCCTCTTTACTAACATTTTAAAGCAATTAATCAAATCTCAAATTATAAATTACAGCGTGCGTCGCTGTTGAGTCGCAAAACCTTACAGTTCTAACAGTCAAATTGCGTCAATTGCAACATATGTCCCTGAACTATTATCCTCATTTCAAATTAGTCCTTAAACTTTTTAACATTTCAATTTTATACTCAAACTATGACTCTCATTCTAAATTAGTCCTCAAACTTTTAAACATTCCAATTGCATCCCCAACTATGAATCTCATTCTAAATTGGTCCCTAAACTTTTAGATCTTCCAACTCTGTCCCCAAATCATCCAAATATGTAGTCCATTTCAACAATAGTTTAACCTAAATTTTATTTTTTCAACCATATGATAAAATAACTTGGCACAATAATTTTATTAACAAGAGATGTGATTAGTATATACATATAATTTAGGATAAAAATGAAATATTCAAAAAATTTAGAGCGAAGATCACAACTTGGGATGAAAATGAAATGTTCAAAAGTTTGAAGTCATGGTTTAAGGATGAAAATGAAATGTTTGAAAGTATAGGAACCAATTTAAACGGAAGGTCATAGATAGTGGACACATGATACAATTAACTCATGCAAATTTTATAGGTTAAAACAAGAAATGGAATGAGTTGACGTGAGTAAAGGAAACAAAGGTAAATGACAATAAAATCTTAATTTTAGAGTCAAAGAAACACACACAGTCAATAAAAACTCTACACAATAAAAGTCAATGCAGAAAAGGTAAGTTCTGGGATCATTATGAAATGAGAATACGAGCTCAGGACTCAAAAGTATAATTAATCCCAAAACCTAACTTAGTTCCTACACCTCTACTTGCAGCTCTCAAGCGGAGCACCGCACAAGCACCGGTTGTGAAAAAACGTGGAGTAATCGAAACTCTACAACCGCCCTCTAACTGGAATCTTCCCGCACAACCTATTGTAACTCACATTCAAAAACTGCAAATCCAGCTCCGTCAACCGTTCCGGAATACTTCCCGTAATCTTGTTATGATTCAGATCCAGCCTCGCCAAGCTCTTGGGAAACTGCAATTTCGACAGGTCAAACTGGAACATATTCCTCGAAAGATCGATATCGAACGTCGTTTTGTTCTTTCCAAACAGCACCGAAGGATCACCTTGAAGCATGTTCCTCGACAAGTCGATGATGTTGAAGTCCATGTTGGCTAAAGACGCAGGGATTGTACCCGAAAGTTTATTGTGAGACAAGATGAACAAGTACAGGCTCCTGCTGGGAAAGCTACCGAAAGATTCTGGTATCGAACCAGTTAACTTGTTTCTGTCCAAATGTAAAGAATCGAGATTTGGGAGTGTGGAAACGGAGCTCGGGATGGAACCCGTGAGGTTGTTAAATGAAAGGTTGAGGTAAGTTAAGTTCTTGAGTTGGGGAATAAACTCTGGGATTGGACCAGACAGGTTGGTCCAGCTCACCCAAAGGGTTTTGAGGTTCTTAAGCTTGGTAACGGTGGATGGTATGGTTCCGTTGAGGTTGGGGAGGTGTCGGAAAAGGAGGGTTTCGAGGTACGGAAGGTCGCCGACTTCGGCCGGGATTTGGCCCGTGAGTTTGTTGTCGGTGAACATGGTGAGGGAAATGACACGGTGGGTATCGGGATGGCATTCGAGGCAGTACCAGTCGCAACAGGCGGTTTTGGGGTCCCATGAGGCCAAGAGATAAGGGTTGCCCAAGGCTTTTTTGATCTTGAGGAGGACCTTCTTATCTTGGGGGTTGCACCGCCCTGACAGAGCCGGTGAAATGAAGGTGGAGAAGAAGAGCAAGCAGAGGAGAACTGGTAGGATTTTCATTTTTTTTTGGGTTGTTTGCTTGCTTAGTGATTGTGCTCAAACTTTTCTGATTTATAGAGGCTAGAGATGATTAATATCTATGTACTGGATTAAATGATTTGAATTATATGGTAAAAAGTGATTGATTAGTATTTAAGTGATTGATTAATATTTAGCAAAGTCAGAATATTGGGTTTCTTTTTTCTATTTATAAGAATTCATTAGGGAGATAAAACTTCAGGTTTTTTAGGGTAACCTATATCAATAGTCCTCAAACTTTTAGGGTGCATTTTGATCATCAAATTTTAAAACTTGCAATACAATCATTGAACTTTTAATTTGTTTTCATTTCTGTCCATTCCATTGTCTTCGTTAGTTTTTTGCTAACCTAGTACTTAACTACCGTTAGCTCCCCTTCTTCTTCTCTAAACTAAAACCATACAATGTAGTTCACAATTCAATTGAAATCTCAATTTCTTCAATCCATAACTGATTTTTTCTTAAACCCATTTATCGAATCAATTGAAATATTATGTTTTCACCGTTCTCCTTTGTTTTCACGCAAAACCCAAATGATCACCGGTAAGCCTGCAAATCCTTTATTCAGGCAAGACTTGAGCACCCATTTGTTTGTAAAACTTAATGGCATTTATATTCCAATCCAAAACCACCCATTCAACTTTCTCCTACCTCATTTTCATTGACGACAATAACATTTTCCTAAACCCTTTCCTCCGATAGAATTCCCTAACGAACAAATCATGTATATAAAACCTTGGTTTCCCTAGAAATGTTGAGTAGTTCAAGAAGGAAAAAAACAAAATGAACCCAGCGATCTTAACATGATCATTTCCATAATGAACCGAAAAGACATCTTTTTTAGGGCCGTCTAAGGGGAGGTCAAAATAGAAAGTTTTCTCTATAGGGGTGAAAGAGGGGGCAGAGGAAGGGAGTGGAGGAATACGAGAAGACGAAAGTTTGAGAAGGAAACCTGTGAAGGACTAGAAAAGAGGGGAGATGAAAATGGTGGAAGAGAGAAAGGATTCTGTGGCGGTGAAGAGGTGAGTCAACTTTTCAAAGACGACCATTTGGTGGATTAGTTTGTGGATGAAAGAGACTTCTAAAGAGGTGGCTAGGCGGATCCTGGTGAACATGGGTGGCCTATCGAGGTTGTTTCCGCCATGATTAGGGCCGAGACATCGAAAGTTATGGCAGTGGAGTTGCGACGGCCATTAGATTCAAAGGTATTTGTAAGTGACAAGACAAGTGAAAGTTTTGAGAGGTCTCTAGAGAGTGTGATGTGGGGAATGGAGGGTGGAGCAGTGGGTTTTGTGGTGAAAATGTAATTTTAGTATTTAGTAGTGTGTCATAGAGGAGAAAAGAATGAAGAATAAGAAAAGTGTTGACGAGAGGTTAACTGTCATGTCAACAAAAAATTAACGGAGGTAACGATAGATAAAAAATGAAAACGAACTAAAAGTTTAATGTATGCATTGTAAGTTTTAAAAGTTGAATGACCAAAATGTAAGCGCCCTAAAAATTCAGTGGCTATTGGTATACTTTACCTTATTTTATTTTCAATGTGCCACTTTTTAAAAATTTTAAAATTGTTAATGATGATATGATATTATTTTATGATGATAAATCAATATTTATTGGGATTAGATGAAGCTCTAATTGATCAACCGAATAATTTACCAAGAGGGGTGAATTGACTTTTTAAGTTTAGGGAGTAAGGAGTAAAAAGATGAAACAATTTGCACAAGGATTTATAGTGGTTCAACTTCAAAACGAAGTCTACATCCACTACCTAAGCTGTCACACCCATCTCCCGTATACTTTTTCGTATACGAGATATGGATATCACCTTACTTTTAAAACAAATTTGTCTTTTGAAAATCCTTAAATGTTTGTTTCGAAATTTAAATTAAAACATTTTAGCACAATGATAAAACAATCATCGAAATATACTACCAAAATGTCCCCTTTATATACATTACATAGCATTTTTCTTTAAATTTGATTACATGCCAGTAATTGTTCAAAATAAACATGATTGTCCTACCGTTACTGATGAGAGTCAACCTTAATAGATGATATCTGATGCTACTGCTGTACTCCTTATTTAATTTGTCTCTGCTTTTCCTACGCGTTGAAACAACACACGTTAAGTATTTACTTAGTGAGACATAATATTGTAAAGTAACCTTTTTGTATACATAGGTATGTCATATTTATGTAGTTCGTACTAAATCGTATATTCTTTAAGGATCCTATAATCCTCCTCATTTAAACCTTATTCTATTCACAATTATCTTAATTATTTTTAGTATGCCTAACATACCTATCTTCCTTTATATTTTTCTTTTCCATTTATTTCTTTATTCATTATTCTTTATTTTCATTGCTAGCATCCATTCATATTTATAATGCATCATTAAGCCTTTTCATTTATAGCATCTTTTCATACCGATAATGCACCCATATGCATTTTAATTATGGCATCCTTCCATGCCTTTTATACAACGTTATGCATTGTTATACATCTAGTCTTTTACTCAAAAGCATTTAACCTTTCATCTAACTGGTATCATTGACACCTTCCTGTCAAATGCACAGTTAGGCCTCAAAGGCACTTAGCCTTTCATCTAACTAGCATGATTGACAATTTTTTGTCAAATGCACATATAGGCCTCAAAGGCACTTAGCCTTTCATCTAACTGACATGATTGACACCTTTCTGTCAAATACATAGTTCGGCCTCAAAGGCACTTAGCCTTTCATCTAATTGGTATGATTGACACTGTCAAATGCACAGTTAGACCATTAATCTTGTATTTTAGAACATTTTCTACTATAATAATTATTCATAATATCAATGAACATTCTCAATACATTATAAACTCTATAGTTTACATTAGTAGTATTAATATCGTCATTTCTTAACCCTTACTATAATTTAGGTGAGTTACTTACCCACTACTAATACTAATATTTATAAACTTATTATCAATTTCTTAGTTTTTGAACTAATTCGTATCATCCATAAGGATTAGATAAGTCCCTATTAGTGAAACCAAACTTCTTTCATAATTCTTATCATAAACATCCTTAGTATGTCCAACATACCTTTATTTTCATTTTTCTTTAATAATTATTTGTTAATTTCACTTATGGCATCATTTCATGCATTTTTAGTTATGGCATCATTTCATGCCTTAATGCATCCTTTCATGCCTTAATGCATCATTTCATGCATTTTTAGTTATGGCATCCTTTCATGCCTTAATGCATCCTTTCATGCATTTTTAGTTATGGCATTCTTTCATGCCTTATTGCATCCTTTCATGCATTTTTAGTGATGGCATCCTTTCATGCCTTAATGCATCCTTTCATGCATTTTTAGTTATGGCATCCTTTCTTTCCTTAATGCATCATTTCATGCATTTTTAGTTATGGCATCATTTCATGCCTTAATGCAACCTTTCATGCATTTCTAGTTATGGCATCCTTTCATGCCTTAATGCATCCTTTCATGCATTTGTTTTAGTTATGGCATCGTTTCATGCCTTAATGCATTCTTTCATGCATTTTTAGTTATGACATCCTTTCATGCCTTAATGCATCCTTTCATGCATTTTTAGTTATAGCATCCTTTCATGCCTTAATGCATCCTTTCATGCATTTTTAGTTATGGCATCATTTCATGCCTTAATGCATCCATTCATGCATTTTTAGTTATGGCATCCTTTCATGCCTTAATACATCATTTCATGCACTTCTAGTTATGGCATTCTTTCATGCCTTAATGCATCCTTTCATGCATTTTTTTTAGTTATGACATCCTTTCATCCATTTTTAGTTATGACATCCTTTCATGCTTTTTTAGTTATGTCATCCTTTCATGCCTTAATGCATCATTTAATGTATTTTTAGTTATGACATCCTTTCATGCCTTAATGCACCATTTCATGCATTTTTTTAGTTATGTCATCCTTTCATGCCTTAATGCATCATTTAATGTATTTTTAGTTATGACATCCTTTCATGCCTTAATGCATCATTTCATGCATTGTTTTAGTTATGGCATCGGTTTAGAGCAGTTCATACTCTAAAACTCATTCTTAATACTCTTTCCATACATCTAATAAATAACGTAATCAATACTATAAAACATACATCAATTTAAACATTCTAATTTGAATCGGTATAAATCTTCTTCATCTCAATATTTACAATAATGTACTCACCTGGATTGTCTTGCTATTATATCCAAAATGAAAAGTTGATTACTCTGGTACTTTGCCTTTCCCTTTAGTTTTGCTTGACTTGGGAACTTGATTTTGATATACTCAACCATCCAATAAAGACACGTACAATATCAATTGCTAGTATATTTCCTAACAAGTATACTTAAATGTTACTCAAGAGTACATATTATTAACTTTCTATTACAGTATCATCCTATTTTTAACATTTTCGGCTCAATAGTATCAATACCCCACATGGTATCGATACTACTATACTATGGTATCGATACTCTATTAAGGTACCGATATCATTTTTTCATTCTATGCTCAATGGTATCGATACCATCCTCATGGTATCGATACTCCCCTCTTGGTATCGATACCACTTGAATCGGTATCGATACTACTCAACAGATTATACTAATTTTAAGCTTATAGTATCGGTACTGTTCTATCAGTACCGATACCCGTGCCAGAATTTCTAGTTTTCAACCCAATTTTCACCCAAATGGGGTCAAATTTTGTTCTGATTACACCATACAATACTATTAAACTCTTCTTTACCTATTCATACTAAATTTCCTTCATTTAGTTTCTTAAAACTTCTAAAATCTTCCAAGAACAATTAATTATAAGAATCACACTACTTTTTCTAATATGTTCTTAATCCTATCCAATGCTTCCAATATTTCATTTACCTCTTTGACAAGTCAAATCTACCAATAAACCTCCATAAACACTCATATATTAACATATCATTTCAAAACCCATTTTCTTAAAT